AAAAAAAAAAAAAAAAAAAAAAAAAAAAAAAAAAAAAATATGAACTCACCAGCAAGCCAACCCACGTTCAACTTACCTTTTACTTACCTCACTTACCTGTGTGAGAACGGTCCCGGTGAGCTACTACACATCTTTCAACAGTAGAAAACTATTCAAACCGAGCCGTACACGTGGGTGAGTCAGAGCCAGTGAGCACACATCTCTGTCTAAAAAAAGTTGATTCGTCTATTTATACTAACTAAACCTTTTTTTCGCCGCTTGCGAGAGCTAAACTTATCTATGATATTCATGCATTATTGGACTCATTGCCGCCACGCGGTCAGAGGTACGGTTATAGCGTCATTTCAGCATTTACAATGCTGCTGTGGCCAACCGTTGTCGGTAATCAAGTAATTCTAATATATAAATAATATGGTATGTTGGCTTTCTTTTGATAATGTAGGTAACCTGTTACCATATGCTAATAGAACGCTGTAGTATACCTATATATGCGGCAAAAGGCAAGACGTATTATGAACTTTCTCGTAAAGTCAAACATCGCCGGCCAATCAAATGGCGGTTAAAACCAATGACGCATCATTTTTTTTATCAGTTTAGGGACTCGGGAGTGTATCTTTCGATATTAAAAGTACTTACTCCCTTATTGTGGCTACTTTAATACTAGCTTTAATATTATTAAATAAGCATAATACTTGCATTACAAAAGGAGCACACCACTATAAACCTTTTTCTATAATTTTCAACAAAATCAAGTAAGTTTGATAAATAAATTTAAAACATTTACTTCTAACGATTGAGAAAAAATTAACTGCTAAAGAACATTGACCAAGTTGTTAAATAACAATTGTTAATTTGAAAATTAATTTTCTTTTAAACAAAAAAACAAAAAACGGATTTTATTCAGAATTTTATTTCTCACATTAATTCATGACAGCACGTATTGGTAAATAATTCATAGATGATGAAATCAGTTCCTAAAGTACAAAAACGTCATTAGCTTTTTATTTAGAACAATAAAAGGGATTCATTTTTTGTATAATTCTCATATATTTTTATTCCACGCTATAGCGATATAAAATTACTACTATAGGTATACATACAACATCATGATATTACTAATAAAAAAATTTCCTGCCAAAATATTATATAATTCTTCCACAATTAATTAACAAGAAAACTGTTAAGTAAGAATAATATTCTTTAATATGTTTTACACATTTTTTTCCTTTGTCAAAAACTCTTTTTTTTTCAATCTATCTAAATATTTATTTATAACCTAATTTTACTTTAACGAATAGCTCGTCCTATGCCATACTCCAGAAGAAGATTACCTGGGGCAAGTACGTCAATGGCGACAGCATCGAAAAGTTTACCTACATGTTTGGACTGGTTTTTGTGCAATGCGTCGTCAACTGCCTTCTTGCCAAGGGACTTCTCATCGTCACTGTGATGAAACAAGGTGAGGATACCACCAGGGTTGTCTACTATACCTGCTCAGCGCTTATGTGCCTCTTGGCGATGGTGTGCAGTAATATGGCTCTGCAGTTCATTAATTATCCCACCCAGGTCGTTGGCAAGGCTGGCAAGCCTATTCCAGTCATGATCTTTGGAGTGCTTCTAGGTGGAAAGGTGAGTTTTACTGATCACTGATTGGTATTATTTTCTTCAAGCCATAATTAAATTGGTAATGTCAGTTAGGAGAAAAGAAGATATATCTCGTCAAAGTCAGAAACTTTGAAATAAACATGAAAGTACAACAAACTTGAAATACCTGAAAATCACGTAATATTCTTATTTTAAAAAGTGTGTCTTTCCGGTGAGAGAGAGAGAGAGGCATAAAATTCCTTTTTAACTACACTTATCTCGTTGAAGAGGCGCTTCGCCTGATTATGACTAATTTTATACTCACTTTTGTATTATTTATTAATCATATTGCATTACAAGAGGAGCACACCATTTCGAGAATTTTTTTACCTTTTCAAACGTATAAAAAATACACTTTAAATATTACTCACTTGCACCACTTACGAACACCAAATGTTTTTTCAAAGACAATTTTCACTTTGTGTGCCATTTCGTCATGTGAATAATGAAGAAATTTAATTTATAAATATTTATCTTTAAAAAATTGACGCTACAAAGTATAATTGATGTAAGGGATATTACAAAATAACGTACAGTTTAATTTTGTCTTACCTTAAATCAAGTTAATTTTTCAACATTATATATTTTTTCAGAGTGTAAAAAAATTAAATAGTTTTGATTATAAGTATGTCGGAGATAAGCTTATTCCATTTAAAAATTTTTCTTCTCAATGCGATGAAGTCATGAAAAATCCCACCAAACAATACAATCGACCTGTGACATGACAAAGAACAATGACACAAAATATCATCTCATTTGCGCACATATTTTCTTCTGTCAGTCACGGTTGATTACCATCTGATTATGGCCAACAAAGTCACCCGGTGATATTTGTTTCAAAATTGTGTTTCTACCCAAAATTGTTAAGATATGGTATACTTTTTCGAAAGTGATGGTAATATAATTTTATTTATATTTTCATTCCATTTTCTTTATAGTCAAATTATATTAGTTTAATGAAAACGTGCAAACGTTGAAAGTTTTAGGGTTAAGTTGTTCGTTTATCACTATAATAATTTTGTAATTGCTTTACAGTGGTTAAACCACCTGTGACACTGTTCATGGGCATTGACAAATACGAAAGTAAGTGCAAATAGTTTATAATAATTTTTTTTGTCTTATTACATCAACAATGTAAATATTTTGTTGTTACTTTTTAAATAGTTTTTAACAAAAGCGCATTTTATTTTGTTATTAAGATTTCATGAAAATTTTACTTACCGTTTTTTTAGATGAAGAGCTAATAAAATGGGGTTGGCCAGAAGATGTTTGGTTCCATGTACATAAATTTTCTTCTGCCCATGTTTATCTTAGGTTGCCATATGTAAGTATGTAATAATTGCATTTGTATACATAGTCTGCACAGTTTGTTTAGTTTCATGTTGTTTAATTTAATTATCTTGGAATACCTTGTCCATCAAAGTAATTAAGAGTCTTAGAGACAACCGAAATTAAACGTTTTATTTTCAGGGTCAGACAATAGATGATATTCCAAGTGCAGTTCTGGAAGATGCTGCACAGTTAGTCAAAGCCAACAGTATTGAAGGTAGTAAAATGAACGATGTTGATGTTGTGTATACTATGTGGTCAAATCTTAAAAAAACTCCGGGAATGGATGTTGGAGAAGTGGGTTATCATCATGAAAAAGAGGTGCGTAAACTTCATGTGCCAAAGCGCATTAAAACGACTATCAATCGCCTAAACAAAACCAAAAGGTCTGAAGACGTAAATTTCCGTGCCGAGAGAGAAAAAAGAGATCGATTAGAAAGAGAAGATCAAAAAAGAAAATTAAGGGAACAAAAAGAAAAGGAGAAAGCTGAAGAAAAAAAGCGACAGGACGAAGCAGAACTTAAGTAAAGAAAAAAAAATAGACATTGATATCTATCTTTTCTGACCTTATAATAGTATTAATTGAAATTGTTAAATTTTTTTCAGGAGCTACAACTCATTGTTTAAAAATGCTTCTATGACTTCAAACACAGAAAATACTGGTTATGATTCTGATGATTTCATGTAACACAACTGAATGTTGTCGATATTTATTGACAAAAATTAAAATATGATTCGTTATTTTTACTGTTTCAAAACTAATTTAACTAGTTCTTGTATGGATAATTATACTACTTTTTTTTGTGCTGTTTGTAAAATTTTCTAATCCGAAATATACAATCATTTTAAATAATAATTTAAAAGTTTTGATTAAAAAATGTACATTAAATAATTACAAAAATTACAGTAATTGTACATTTACTGCTTTTAAAGCATGAACAATCCATTCGGGATAGTCTTTGTTAGGATAATTCTGTAGCATAAAATTTTGAATGTACTGAGGATACCTTTGCTCCTCTATACTTTGGCGTATTTCTTTCATCAGTCTCATTTGAAATGCAATATTATGCACTGTTAATAAATGACAGGCGACAGTTTCTATGGTCACTATTTGATGAATATAAGAGCGACTGTAAGTCTGACATGTACTACAAGAACACGTCTCATCAATAGGTTTTTTGTCCATACTGTACTGTCCTTGCTTTAAATTCAGCTGCCCTGAATGTGTAAGCGCACAACCAAACCTCTGTAACATATTTTTTCATAAATTTTAAATAAATTTTATTAATAATAACTGTGTGAAGTAATTTTACTTACTGCAGTTCTGGTTGGAAATACGCAATCAAACATATCGATCCCTAAAGCACAACAAACAACTAAATCCACAGCAAAACCAACTCCCATCAAGTACCTCGGTTTATTTTTAGGCAGAATATCTGTTGACAAATGAACCATCTTCCAAAAATCTTCTTTGCTTTCTCCTCCGCTTAAGCCACCAACAGCATATCCATTGACTTTTCTCTGAGTCAACTGCTTAGCAGACTCTGTCCTTAAAACAGGATCCAAGCCACCTTGTACTATTGGAAAAATACTCTGTTCATGAGGTTTTTCATTAGCAGATAAACACCTATCCAACCATCTTGTTGTTCTAAAATCATATTTAATCATTTAATAAAAGTTAATTTTACATTCATTGAGCTGTTAATAGTTACTTTTACCTATGCATCGCTTCTTCTACTCTTGGTCCTGTGGTAGTACTTGACACAACGTCATCCAACTGCATTATTATATCAGCCCCAATCGAGTTTTGTATTTGAATAGATCTTTCAGGTGTTAACATGGATTCCGAACCTTATGAGAAAATTCATACTTGAAAATTATTTATTAATGAAAAATGCGAAATAACGAAGAATCATTCATACTACCGTCAAAGGGACTTTTAAATTTCACTCCTTCTTCCGTGATTTCTGCAAGCTTCAATAACGATACCATTTGGAATCCCCCAGAATCTGTCAGTAGGGCTCTGTTCCAGTTCATGAATTTGTGCAACCCACCTGCTTTATCTAATACTTCCGGTCCCTACAGTCATTTATACAGTTGTGTACATTAATATTGTCATTATTTAAAGAAAATAAAAATACAAATAAGCAGCAATCTTACAGGTCTGTTTCCTAAATGGTAAGTATTACCCAAAATAATTTGACAGTTCAAGTCTTCTAATTGTTGTGGAAGTAATCCTTTTAATGTACCCTGTAACAATAAGGTAGCCCAGTTTTTAACACAGCGCGTTTGCAGTTGCAAATTTTTTTTTACAACTTGACAAAAAACCAAAACACAAATTCCAAACATACTTACCTGTGTACCAACAGGCATGAAAACTGGAGTATCCACGTGGTGGTGTACGAGTTGCATGAGCCCCATCCTTGCCTTCGTCGTCGAACACTCCGCACGGATCTCGAAGGTGAGTGGGCACTTATTCTCACTGTCTGTTAGTTTCATTTTCTTTTCAGGCTGACTATTTGCTGAATTTTGTTCAAAATTAATTCGTGATTTTTGAATTGTTGACGTCCATTGACTACTACTTCTTCGTAACATATCAAAAATCTCCAATTCATACGTGACAGGAGGTTTGTTCAAGCCAATTCTCGGTGAAACTCGGAGAGACTCTGAGAGCCTCCGGAATGAACAAGCAGGAACAAGTGTTCTTCTCCGAGAGACTCTGACTGTCCCCGAGAATGTATATGCACACGTTAGGTTAGATAAATTAAAATCCTATGTAGATTCACTCCAACACTAAGACATTCTGTTTACTTTTTGTACTTATCTAACCTAACGTGAGAGTCTCTCGGAGACACTCGGAGAAGAACACTTGTTCATTCCATTCTCGGAGGCACCCAGAACCCAGAGTCTCTCCGAGTCTCACCGAGAATTGGCTTGAACAAACCTATAGGGTTTTAGATCGCCACGGCCGCCGCATTGGCATATACTTGTATTGTGTTTTTATTTTAAAAACCAGCGAATTTGTTAAAAATAAGTTATGATTTAAGTCAAAAAAAAAAAATTTCGCTTGATTTTTCTAAAAAAATATGTATTAAAATATCTTGCTTTTTTTACAACGAAATACGGTACATTATTTAAGAATAAACTTTTTTATCACATAAAACGTAATGATTCCCGCTGCTATCCCTTTTAATATCATCCGATAGTCTAATCCGTCGTTTTTAAATATTTCATCCTTCTCTGACACAAATCCATCTATCGTACGTGCTTGACGCTTATTTATCACTTCTTGTAATTCTTCCTTGTCGATTACCTATGAAACGTATACATAAATTGTATAAAAATGCCTTTTCTTACAGGTGTAGCCAAAATATCAAACCTGAAAATTTTCAACAGCCTTCTGTAAATTGTTTAGTTCTCCAAGTACCGAATCAACCCCTTGAACCAGAACATCAGAAGCTTTTAAGTGTGTATCATTGTCAATAAAATAGTCTGGAAGATCATCAGACATCTTTATTAAAAATTGACAGTATAAATTTATGACTTCTGCTTGCCTTCTGACAGCACCAAGGATTTTTAATGTATCTGCAGGTCTGTAATTACAATTAATTTTTTAATAAATATAAAATGAGCACAAAACTTATACATACGTTTGAATAACACAAACTAACATACATGTCAGCTTTTGTATCATATTTTTTTTTCAAATTATCCCTCATTTTTCTAAATGATTCATAATCAAACTTGTCTCCAACCTCTGAAAAAAAAATGAGACAATGAAACGCACATACAATATAACTTCAACTCAAGAAGAATTTTAAAAAACTCACGTAATACTTCTAAATCTTCATCTGTCAAGTATTTCAAATCATCAAAAGAAATGTCTCTCTTTTCAAATTCACTTAGGTTAGAAACACCTAAGCCGGTTAATAAAGAGGCAGTTTCTCTCGTAAAACCCAATGGATTATTATTTTGATACTGTTGCATGATGATGGTTTAATAAAAACTATAATAATCATGAACAAGTTACTTTTTTTAGTACTGAACGTCGTTATACGTCTTTCTAAATACTTGTGTTTACGACTTTACGAGTAACTTCAAATCTGTCAACATACACCTGAAACGGTCAGTACAAAAAAAAAAAAAAAAAAAAAAACGTCAACATGTGATTGTCTGCTACTATATTTAGGAACTCAATTAAGGATAGAGAGGACAAGAGTACAAGAGACAAAAAAACACTGACTTTTGTCCACCATGTGACTTTTGAGTCATTTATCTGTGACTTTGGTTTCAAAATAAAACTAATTATTATGGAGGCTCGGAAATTCGGAAGCTCAAATTTTGCCACAGATTTCGCAGACTAATTTTTAACATTCGTCGGTAATATCCGGATCGACCAGTGCAGTTTGCAGATGTACTTACATACATATATACATGTACATAATATATGTTGATGCTCCATTGGTCCATGCATAGAAACCCGGGCCAATATAGGTAATGTACGTATTACGAAACGTCGGAAAGAGAGAAACACTCCACAAAAAAGAGATATAGAGGTATTAGAGACTGCACTGCAATGCACTGAAGAGAGAAAAGAAGTGTGTATACTTACTTATACGTAAGAAAAAAAATAAAGTACTTGCAAATTTTACGTGTGTACATTGCCACGCGTCTCTTCTTCATCACTACTGGGTGAGATAAACGAAGAGAAACGGTATGGGAGCAGCGGATGAGCTCCTCGGCGAGGATGTCGTCTGGGTGCCGCTCTCGCTTACTCTCATCGAGTATCCCCAAGGTAAATAATTGCATACCTGTACCCGGCATTGGTACGTCGGTCAGCTTATTATTGTATATATTCGCTACTTAGCTGTCATCCCCTCTTTAGAGGACTTGAGATTTTTTTGTACATTATTTTAGTAATTTTATACTTACACACCTATTGTAGTTATGTGTCTCTAAGCAAGAGGTATGTAAATAAAAGTTTTTTCACGTTGATGTTTAAAATAAGTTTTTTTGGAAAGCATGAAAAAATGCTTAAGGGTGCTTAAGCAAGTGCTTATTACATAAGCTGTTATTGTAAGTACAAATAAAAAATAATACAACAACTGCTAAATACGAGATACAAATGATGTACTACACATAAGTTTGGGGTAAACAATCAAACAACTTTCATGGACTTTTTGTTACAGGAGATTTGCTGGGAAAATTACTTGCCACAATAAGTCTGATGCCTTTTGCTGTACTATCTGGATTTGTTACTTTGATTTTATTTAGACGAGATCTTCACACAGTAAGATATACAAATCTAAAATTTAAACCACAAAATTGTTAAACAGAATATCAAACGCCATTTACTGTTTTAGATTGTATTTTTCGGTGGTGTGGTTATTAATGAGCTTCTAAATTATGTTTTAAAACATATCATTCAAGAACCAAGGCCTATGAGGCGCGACACACTTTATTCTGAACATGGTATGCCATCCACTCATGCTCAATTTATGTGGTTTATTGCTGCATACATGACATTATTTGTAATATACAGGTAAACTACTCAATAAACTGAGAATATTTTTTATAATCAGCATTTCTTTTTGAAAATACTTAGNTTATAAACCTTTTGTTAATCAATTGTGACACTTTCTGAGATTTCAGATAATAAACATTTATGTATGAAGTTTGTATTTTATTGAAATAAATATTTTTTTTTTTTTTACGAAAAAATATAAAACTTTTATTTAAACAATACTGATCCAGTAATTTCTTATCTTACCTAACAATATTGAACAACAGCGATTGAGCATCAAGGCCTCGTCGGGAGGGGTTTCGAAATCAATGCACACCAGGAGTAAAGTATTTCCTATCTTTCTATCAACTTTTCTTTTTGGTTTAATCGCTCTGTATTTTAAAAAAAGATGATCTTAATAAATTATGTCGATGATAAGACACCCAGTGCCACCACGCAATCGGAGATGCAGTTTTACAATCATTTCAGCATTTACAATGCATATTTATCCATCCCGAGGTCCATCCGTTGTCGGTAATCAAGTAATACTAATTAAGTAAACCTATCTTATGCGGCAAAAATCAAGACATATTAATTGAGATTCCAAAAGGTCACGTGACTCGCGGTGTATATAGTCACGTGAGGAAAAAATAACGCAGGCCTTGTAGGTGCAATTATATTTTTATTTTTTTTACACGTTCAACGATTGTCATACGATGACAGTACCTTAGCTATTTTTTCCCATCTCAATTAGTCTTTTGCAGCTTAAAACTTTCCTTTAAAAAAGCGAAAATACACATTTTACCTTACCAAAATCCCGCTTGTTTTTGGAAAAGACTAATTGAGTTGGGAAAAAATAGCTAAGGTATTGTCTTCTCCTCAAAAATATGTTATTGGAAGGCTTTTATCGTATTCCAATCATTAAATGTGTAAAAAGAATAAAAATATAATTGCACCTACAAGGCCTGTATTATTTGTCCCCCAAGTCACTATATATACCGCGAGAATCGAGTGACCTTTTGGAATCCCAATATAAACTTGGCCGTGAAGTCAAACATCAACGGCCAATCAATACGGCAAAAGGCAAGACGTATATGAACTTTCCCGCGAAGTCAAATCATATATTTAAATAAAGGTATTTGTTTATTAAAATTATGATATCGTCTTTAATGAGCCCAAACAATTAAATTGATTTATGGTCTCTCGAGTTTCTACTTCGAGACATCAGTTGAATTTAATAAGTTGAATTTGAAGTGGGTATACACATACACATTGTAGCAAAGAAATTGCAATCACTCAGCAAGGACATAATGAGGTCGTTCGATAATTATTTAAAAAATTGACATTCAATTTTCTCACAATCACCAAGTCTGCAAGTGCAGAATGAATTTACTCGTAATTTATTTGTATTTTAACGTTGCATACGTCAAATTGTTGTAATTACCGTAAATTACTTTATACATGTGTAACCCAAGCTAGTTTTTGTGTCCTTGTCCTTGAACCCTGCACGTAGGTATAAATATGCAATTAAACACCCATCACCAACTCACGTTGGTTCATAACAAGAACATGAAATTTTTTAACGCTACTAGTTACGGACTTTGTGAAGTTCTTCGTAATTGACATTTTTTTTNCTTTAATATGTTTTACACATTTTTTTCCTTTGTCAAAAACTCTTTTTTTTTCAATCTATCTAAATATTTATTTATAACCTAATTTTACTTTAACGAATAGCTCGTCCTATGCCATACTCCAGAAGAAGATTACCTGGGGCAAGTACGTCAATGGCGACAGCATCGAAAAGTTTACCTACATGTTTGGACTGGTTTTTGTGCAATGCGTCGTCAACTGCCTTCTTGCCAAGGGACTTCTCATCGTCACTGTGATGAAACAAGGTGAGGATACCACCAGGGTTGTCTACTATACCTGCTCAGCGCTTATGTGCCTCTTGGCGATGGTGTGCAGTAATATGGCTCTGCAGTTCATTAATTATCCCACCCAGGTCGTTGGCAAGGCTGGCAAGCCTATTCCAGTCATGATCTTTGGAGTGCTTCTAGGTGGAAAGGTGAGTTTTACTGATCACTGATTGGTATTATTTTCTTCAAGCCATAATTAAATTGGTAATGTCAGTTAGGAGAAAAGAAGATATATCTCGTCAAAGTCAGAAACTTTGAAATAAACATGAAAGTACAACAAACTTGAAATACCTGAAAATCACGTAATATTCTTATTTTAAAAAGTGTGTCTTTCCGGTGAGAGAGAGAGAGAGGCATAAAATTCCTTTTTAACTACACTTATCTCGTTGAAGAGGCGCTTCGCCTGATTATGACTAATTTTATACTCACTTTTGTATTATTTATTAATCATATTGCATTACAAGAGGAGCACACCATTTCGAGAATTTTTTTACCTTTTCAAACGTATAAAAAATACACTTTAAATATTACTCACTTGCACCACTTACGAACACCAAATGTTTTTTCAAAGACAATTTTCACTTTGTGTGCCATTTCGTCATGTGAATAATGAAGAAATTTAATTTATAAAGGTCCATCCGTTGTCGGTAATCAAGTAATTCTAATATATAAATAATATGGTATAAATTAACTGCTAAAGAACATTGACCAAGTTGTTAAATAACAATTGTTAATTTGAAAAATAATTTTTTTTTAAACAAAAAAACAAAAAAAAACGGATTTTATTCAGAATTTTTTTTCTCACATTAATTCATGACAGCACGTGATGGTAAGTAATTCATAGATGATGAAATCAGTTTCTAAAATACAAAATCATAATTAGCTTTTTATTTAGAACAATAAATGGGATACATTTTTTGTATAATTCTCACATATTTTTATTCCTTTCACGCAATAGCGATATAAAATTACTACTATAGGTATACATACAACACCATGATATTACTAATCAAAAAGTTGCCTGCCAAAATATCATATAATTCTTCCACAATTAATTAACAAGAAAACTGTTAAGAAATAAGAATAATATTCTTTAATGTGTTTTACACATTTTTTTCTTTTGTTAAAAACTCTTTTTTTTCAATCTATCTAAATATTTATTTATAACCAAAATTTACTTAAACGAATAGCTCGTACTATGCCATACTCCAGGAGAAGATTACCCGGGGCAAGTACGTCGATGGCGACAGCATTGAAAAGTTTACTTACATGTTTGGACTGGTTTTCGTGCAATGCGTCGTCAACTGCCTTTTTGCCAAGGGACTGCTCGTCACTGTGATGAAACAAGGTGAGGATACCACCAGGGTTGTCTACTATGCCTGCTCTGCGCTTATGTACCTCTTGGCGATGGTGTGCAGTAATATGGCTCTGCAGTTCATTAATTATCCCACCCAGGTCGTTGGCAAGGCTGGCAAGCCTATTCCAGTCATGATCTTTGGAGTGCTTCTAGGTGGAAAGGTGAGTTTTACTGATCATTGATTGGTATTATTTTCTTCAAGCCATAATTAAATTGATATTGTTAGTTAGGAGAAAAGAATATATATCTCGTCAAAGTCAGAAACTTTGAAACAAACATCAAAGTACAACAAACTAGAAATACCTGGAAATCACGCAATATTCTTATTTTAAATTATGTTTCATTTCAGACGTATACATTCAAAAAGTACTGTTTCATCACTTTGATTGTCACCGGTGTGGTTTTGTTTATGTACAAAGAAAATGCTGCTCCCAATGAAATTAAAGGAGAAGGTTCTGGACAGGTTCTGCTGCTACTCTCTTTGACAATGGACAGCCTCATAAGCGAAGTCCAGAGTAAGATGCAAACAGAGCACAAAACCAAATCTGATGACACATGATGTTCAACATAAATCTCTGGTCGATATTGTACAACGGTGCAGTGATTCTTGTCACTGGCTAGTTACTCAGCTCTCTCAAGTTCCTACAACGACACCCATCCGCTATCCAACACATCTTTACCCTATCGATGTGTGGAGCACTTGGTCAGTACTTCATCTTTCTGACCATC